TTGCGATGTATGAAGAAAAGTTAGGTAATTATATTGCCTTTCATGAGAAAAAATATCAAGCAAATCTGAGGGGTACCATTTTTGGGAAAATGACTTTTAATTTTTAAATATATTTTTTTAGAGTGTAGAAACCAATTTTTTAATTTATTTAAATTTTTTTATAAAATTTCAGATTATTTGCTAAAAGTTCGCCATACATCACTATTTTGTAGGGCTTGTCATTTTTAAGCTATATCGATTTGAAAAAAAAACGATAAAAAACTTTGACCCTTATCAAATGTTAGGCGAGATAAATTTTGAAAAAAATAAGTACTCAAAGTTGCTTAAAATTGCTAAGTCTCCACACCCACAAAGTTTCATAAGGTTCTGAGAGGGTGCTGCCAACTCCGAAGACGAGTTGGCGTGAAATCCGTCATATGAGAAATCATTTAGATTTCATTGGACACATAACGTTCATGTGATTTAGTGGTGCAATTTCCAATTATGGGATCACATGAAAGTTATGTGAAATTCACATGGATATTTTCCACTGGTTATGTGATTTATTTTATGAGTGTATTTTGCGATCTAGTGTGCTATCAATGAGATATACATACAGGAGTGGCACATGATAGTGTTTGTTTGTGTTTGAGAGCAATACTAAGAAACATTTTCGGAGATGAAAAGTGGTGACGACACAACAACCAACTCTCCGAACAAAAATCGTGATTGTGACGGCGCAACTTTATTGTCTCCGGTGCCTGAAGCTTCGGGTACACGGGACCACACTACCACCCATAAAGTTTGCCCCGCTTACTAATACATTCGTAAGAGGCACTGCCTAACCTACACTCATAAAATAAATCACATAACCAGTGGAAAATATCCATGTGAATTTCACATAACTTTCATGTGGTCCCATAATTGGAAATTGCGCCACTAAATCACATGAATTTTATGTGTCCAATGAAATCTATATGATTTCTCATATAGAATTTCTAATGCTATGTGATATTCAGGTAAAAATCATTGTTTTTGTTTTTGGAAAAAATACTATGTGCGTTCCTAATAGAAACTAAGTGAAAACTTTTTTCAGTGTATAGGTAAAGCACATACAGTGTGTCTCAAAATTGAGCGTACAGATGTCCTTATATTTTAGAAAAAAAAACAGCTTTAAAAGCACAATTTAAAGAGATACGTTTCTGAATTTCTGGCTGCTGAATCATCATAAATTTATCAATTATTGATGCAGTGTTGGGCTTATTTGGTTGCGTTTATTAAAAGTAAGATCTGTTTGAGAAAAATGGCATTTCCTTGAAAAACCATAATATCTTGAAATATAATGATCTACTTTTTTAAATTTTGCTCATTTTTAGTCATAACAAAGATCATTCATAATCCACTAATTTTACTAAAATTCGTCCACTAGGTAAAAAGTTGAAAATCGAGCGTTTTACTGAAATAAATCTAACTTCATATAGGTTCTTCCAATAAAGTCTAAAACTAAAGCGATGAATCAATAAACATATGTTTAATAGACTGATGCAAAATTTGACTTTTTCGCTCCACAGTGCTTAAATGGTTTCAAATCGGGTCCTGATTAGCCTTCCAAAGTTACAACTCATTTGGTTAGAAACAGACTTTGCACAAGCCATTTGAAGTTTACATGTAAATTACTATAGGAAATCTCAACTTTTTGTTCATTGCCTTCTAGTCTTTTTCCATATTGAGCTGCAAAACAGTTCGATAGCCATTATTAAAGAAAATTTTCTCAGCTACAACTTTGCTGAAAATTGTTTCTATGTAAAACGAGACAGGAAAAAGTTATTAATTATTTAAGAGATTGGTAAATATGACATGATCAAGCAGCTGCTCTGTAGGCAACACTGTATTTTGCAGTGTGACATAGTAGACATGATTTTTGTGTCCTATTCAACGCCCCAGAAACACCAATGTTGCCTGCTGAGCAGTTGATTGAGCATGATCATAAGACATCAGCGCATTGAACCATTGATAACTTTCGATCCTTGCATTTAATCAAAAAAAGGTCTTCGGCAAAGTTGTAGCTGGGAAAATTTCTTGCAAGTACAGTTGAAAGGTTTTGAAGCAGACCGATATGGTGAATTATTAGATAGACATGAACAAAAATCTTGGTTTTACCATAGTAATTCCCATACAAACTTCAAATGGTTTGTGCCATCTCAGTTTCTCACCAAAAATGTTCAAATTTTGAGAGGTTAGTCAGGATCCGATTTGGAATCGTTTAAGTATTGTGGAGCGAAAAAGTCAAATTTTGCATCAGTCTAATGTTTAACCACCTGCCAAGATTTAAAAAAATATATCTATTCACAATGTTTCAAAAAATGTTCCACTAGGGTGTACGCTCAATTTTGCGATACACTGTAGGTGTGCTATGACATTCATCACCGGCATGTCGATCAGACCTCCGTTTGTGTGTAGGTTACACTCAATTGAATGATATCAAGCGTTTCTCAAATGAGAATGATCCATGCCTTCGTCAAATGACTAAGCAAACTACTGCCTTTCTCATTTCATCAAATATGTTCAATTGATTTTGAGAATTTACAGCACTGCTGACGACTTTGGATTGACCGAATTGACGGTTTCAGATTGAAAGGATGTCGACTATCCTGAAAATCGTGAACAATCAGGGAATCTCAGGGGATTTCATTCAAATTCAGGGAAATATTTCTTAATCAAAGAACCTTATTAACAAGTATGACTTACTTCGAAAGTTGCAATCAACTTAATTACTCGGTATACAACCATCCTCAATTGTTCATTTATAATTTTAAATAGAGTTTTGAAATTGTAGTCACTCAACTTTATTGAAATTGATGTTGCAAGTCAAATATAAAAGTATGTCGATGATTTTGGTCCTAATATAAGTTCAGCTCCCGGTGGGTGTTGGTATATTTCTGAGATCCTGAGGGTTGATAAAAATCCATTTCCGTAAATGCTAGACGTTGTTAGTTGTCGCTAAATTTAACCTCCAAGTGGGTATGTCCGTCTCTCTTAATACTTGTTACACCTAATTGCGTCTGACAAAATTTAACTTTCGAGTAGATTGGTGCGTTTGCTCGATCCAGCTGTGTCCAACAAAAAATAATCCTTTGAGTGCATCCTTTGAGTTAAGAGAAGAGGATGATTTTTGTCTGACTACTTGTAGTTCTTGTTCCTTACTATTTTCTTAACAGCCTGGAAGATAGATTTGTTAAAAGAATCAACTACACTTCCGATTATAAGTTTTTCACAAAATATATGTAAATTTACGTCCAATTTCCGTTCTCTTTAGGTAATTTGAAAGGAACTTTTTTTGTAGGTATATGGCTCAATATAATTTTCAAATTTTGTATACTAAAAGTTCACCCAAAGTTACAACATTTTTCAAAGTTTATTCTGAATAATCATTATTGATTTTATAGGAATTTTGAAATAGGTGAACTTTTTTAGTACACAAAATCTGAGAAATAAATTGAGTCATTTATGTACGAAGTAAGTTTCAGCCAATACCTTTCAAATGACTTAAAGAGAAGGAAAATTGGACGTTAAATGACAGAGTTATGAACAAAACATATTTGCATGTTTTTTTTTTGTGGGATGACCCCAAACTTATGATCGGTAGTGTTAATGAGAATGGTCTTGCTTGGATGGATTTTTTTTTATTGCTTGGTATCACTTTCATGATTGAATGATGATTTTTAGATACGTAGGCTATTTTGGGTCTTCATTGTGAACCTGATTAGCTTGGTCACACTTGTTTTAGGATGTGCTCATAATTTATTATATAACTAATGCTAATGTTCATAGTTTGTCAGACAAGATCCCCTTGATAGCGGATAACTGCTTTTCCCATTTCATCAAATATGTTCAATTGATTTTGAGAATTTACAGCATTGATTCTGAGCATAGCTGAAATTTAAAATCTTAAAGGCTAGAAAAATATTAGAATCCAATAATCATAATTGCTTCCTCTATTCAGAAACCTAGCGGGTGATTCAATTGATTTCAAAGTGGTGTCATTTTCATGTTATGGCCAAGGTCGATGCAAACATATAAAGTAAAAAAAAGTTGCAGCTTGTCTATAATGATATTCATCTGATATCATTGTTAATTATTCAAAATGCTTCCACGGTGGTCAGACTCCAATCAGCATTAACACTTAATACCGGCCCTATGTGAAAACTCTGGCAACGTATCAATAGCATTATTTAAATTAAGTTGATAAATAAATTATTAACGAGCGTTTTAAAGAACAGCTTAGGGAAACAATGCTTTTAGGGGAATTGCTTAATACTAGTGAAATATCAAAATGGGAGAACACAGTACATCAGTTTTGCAAATTTGACATGGAATTTCGACTAACTTTTACGCATTATAACCTCTGAAATTAATTAAGTTCGTGATATGGATTTCCTTTAGTTTGAACTCATATAATTCGGTTTTCTAATTTCTGGAATTAGAGAAGTTATTTAAATCATACGTTGAGCCCTGTCATACCTGATTCAGTAACAATTATTATAACTCATACCTATATGACCCAACATACCATCCATTTGAAAATAACCCCTTAATTTCTCTATCCCAGCCCTGAACTACATGGTGGTGAACATACAAAGCTGTGGTAATTATTTGTCGTTTTCTTCAGCAACAACAAAATGTTACAATCGACTAGCGAATATCAGAATAAGCAACCCACCCCAAGCTCATACATTTTTATCCTAGTTTCATCATGTTTTCATTTCACCAATCGTTTCACATCTTTACATCCCGTAGTGGAAAACGCAACATGGAACGAACCCCTATATTCGTGTGAATTGATTTTGATTCTCAACACTGCGATGTAGTTGTCTGACGTCTGAATACGCAAGGTGCTTCTTTCCGGAACGTTGTATAATTTTGTATACTGACCCCATACCCCCTAGAAATGTAGACGACCTGTGGTAGATGTTATCGCAAGTATCATTAACGCGCCCACTTTACCCATTTCCAATCAACAGGAAGCGGTGGTCCCTCGGTGACGAGCTGCACCGGTAGCGAAATCGACAAACAGGTCGGCCTGTGGGAACGGCGCGTCAAGGGCCTCCGGCGGATGATACTGGGCTGGGACCAAACGAAACCACCCGACCTGCCCAACCGGATAGACATCGACGTGGCCGGGTGTACCTCGGTCAGTTTGCGGTTATACGAACCCCTCGAAGGTGCCATATCATCCAAATTCAAAGGTGAGGGTTACGGTTAATTGCCTTCGGGTTTGGTTTGCAATGTTCGGAATATTTCAGTGCAATGGTCTTCCCGATCGGACTTTAGCAACGTGGTCGGGGAGCGAGAGGTCAACGAGTGGACGAGCATCCACGGGTGCATGGGCGCCGTGTGCAATCTAAGCGAACTCATTCAAGGGCGGAGGTACTTCTTCCGGGCTTGCGCTGGTAACATCAAAGGCTGGGGACCGTACAAACTGTCCACACCGAACTGTGTAGTGCCATCTAGTGAGTATTATCCACATATGGTGTAAATGTTATGGCTCTTAAATATCTTCGTCTTCTACCCTCAGGCTGGCGCGATGTGGAAAGCCGTGAAAACCGATTCGTCGGCAAACAACGCAATCTGGACGACCTGTTCAATGCGGTACGGTTGGCACGACCCGAGGATGCCTCCGAAATTGCCATGGATGCGACGGCCCCGGCCAAACGAGCCATCAAAAAGAAAACCACCATCAAGCAGCTCTTTTCGGCGGCGTCCAAATTTCAGAAAAATCTCAAACGGTAAGCTTTTCCATCCCGGCAGTAAAACCAATATATCAGCTTTTACAAGTACCGTGTCGGATTGTCTACCTTGCAGGGGCATCTATCTGGCGTGTGTGTTGTACCACGAGGACAAGCTGCTGCTAACCAACGAGGACTTTGTACCGGTGATAGAGATTGACGAGACGTTTACCAGCAACCTGCACACCGACTTCTACTGGCTGATGAAGGTACGTTTGCTTGGGTGGATGGGTTTTGTTTTTGTGGCGCCACTCCAGCTACGGTGCAAATGTAATATTCGCTCGGTCGGGTATGCAGAATGTATGTGCATAAATTTGCACTGCACTCGAGCCGACCGGTCAGGAGCACCACACGCCTGAAACGACCAAGTTTGGCTACAGTTAGGCGAAACCGTTGTCATAGTTGGACTTGGATGTTTGCTAAATCAATGAGTGTTATTCGAAGCGGACTGGTCAACGTTTCGGATGATAACCATCCCACATAATCCACTACACGTCACAAGCTATTCGTTAGTAGTAGGGGAAAGAGGGGCATAGTGAACAGGTGGGGTATAGTGAGCTTCCAATTAATTGGTTTCAACCAGTAAGAGGTTTGGAACTGTAGTGCGGGATGCTTATTATACCTGTTCACTATGCCCCTCTTATCCCCTACAAGCGCAACATCAACAACGAGCAACATGCTTTACGGGAGCATGATTTTCAAGCGCTCTTCACATTTTATTCAAACAAGTAAAATGTAAAAATGAAAATCACACATTTTACCACTTTATCAACGAAATGCCACCACAAAAAAATCATGGCATCATACGGAACGGTGCTTGAAATACGTTTACCTATTTGTTTTTTGCTCACTCGCGCCGCAAGTCATACATAGCTACTGACTGGCCTGTGGTTTTGGGCGAATGACTAGACTGAGAACGGATGTGGAACACAATTTGGTAGGAAAAACATGCCGGAAAATACTACAAACTCGTCAGGGCACTCTCCCAGCCTGAATGAAATCATAACTCGTGAAGCGCTTTTTTTCGTTTTGGTATACCGGTGTAGAGTGGCATATGTAGTATGTATGTTGATGTAAATATTATATCACAGACTAATAACTAACTAACGGAACTCTTCATTGATGGTCATCGTACACCCATAGAAAGTTCAACGTGATAAATTGGATTAAGTCGAATTTTGGATGATTGCTTTTATTTATATGTTGGGACTCTGCCACCGTGAGTTCCTGAGTTTACTTCTGCTGCGATGTCTTATCGAATTCCAGCAGATTCTAAACTCCACCACTCCTCGAATTTCCGTTAATATCGGTTTCTGATGAAAAAGACGGTGAAGCTCTACATTTGAGATCCAGTTATAAGGGCATCAAACACGAATACAGTTTAACATCGAGCGATTTATAAAAATTGCTCAAACTTCTTATAAGCTCTACCAGTCAAGTCCAAAACTAGGGGACGGGCCGGGCGTAGTGGTTAGCATCCTCCCACGCTAACGATCACGAGTTCAAATATCATCGCCGGACAAGTCACAAATGACTTAAATGTGTTAAAGGGACTATACAACAAAACATAAAAAAGTCTAGAACTATACTGATAAATCAATAAATAGTTAGTCAACCACTAAAGCTCAATTCACTTAAAATCTGAACGCAAGAAATCAGCTCTATCTCGGAATTGTTTTGATGAAATAAAACAGTTGAGCAGTCAAAATAAAGGTTTTGAAGATCGAAGTGTTTCCTGCTTCAACACGGACGTGGAAATTTTCCGGTTGTCCGCCAGTCGAAGGAAGATTATCCTGCAAAAGTATCCGCAGATCAAGAAGTTTTTCGGTTATGATCCGCGGTTCAAGTTTGAGGCTGGTGCCATGGTGCTAACGCAGTTTGCGATGTAGTTCATAATGAAGGACCAATCGTGGAAGATGATTTTCCTGGTGGCATATTTCTTTGGAGGGGTGATTAATCATTCGCTAGAGCTCGCCTGTCACGATATTGCTTACAATCTGGTTTTTGGATATGCAAGGCCGATGGCAAACCGGCTGTTTGGATTTTTTTTTGCAACCTCCCGATCGGAGGAGCGGATGCATCCAACGAAACTTTTAAGCGCAAAAGAATCATTACCAACATAGGAGAAAATTCGGTAAGATCCTTCCATGGCATTATTTTATGATTCTTCGATATTGTACAAATATTTACACATTACACACAACTACACATAGTAACTCGGAGCGTTTGGTACGGTATGTCCACCCCTGTAGATTCAAGAAATGTTCCCATTCATTTCCAGGAATCATCTTTGAGGCAAATAGAACGCAGTAGGCCTGGCCGTATTGATGTCAGATATGCTGTAAACATCAATTAGACAAGAAATAGGGTATACGTCCCTAACCTCGGTCTAATATGCAGCCATCGATTACGTTTTTAATCATAACTCATCAATGAATTTACCTGCAAACGATATTCTACTGCTAAATGGTATGCTTAGATATGCTTATCATGTCGTTTGCTATCAGAAACCACGAAAAGTTGAAAAACTTACTTTTTTTAAGACAATAACTCACGAGGGAAATGTATGTAATATGGGTCTATTGTCCCCAAATTGGGTCTATTTATGGATGCAACTTCGTCCTATCTTGTTTGATCCTCAAAAAAACGCTCTTGGTAACGTTTTCTGATGTATTTTTTTTATCACTATCACTGTTAACTTAATGCTCTTCATTCCTCAAAACATTTCTTAGAGAAAATTTTACGAAAACTACATTAAATCACTCAATTTAAAAATTAAAAATTAAAAATTTCGCTTATCGTCTTTTGACCGCAGAATATCTAAATCAGAACATTGTGATGTTCATTATACAGGTTTGGCAGAAAAAATCTCCCTTCCTGTTCGTTCCTTATCATCCAAATGCAAAACAACATTGTTGACGTTACTCTTATTGCTATATGCTGTCAAATGAATTTCATGGGCCATAGTTAGGAACATAGAAAAGAAATGTGTCCCTAAAGTTGGGTCCATGTTTTACTTGTGAAAACGTTGTTAAACAATTAAAATAAACATAAAATATTCAAACAGCAACTGTAAGTTTTACGTCTAGTGTGTATTATCAGGTAATTCCAATCAATAAATGCCATAATCAGGCCATTTGATGATCGTCAGTCAACCTTCCCATCTTAACCTTATAAGTCATGGCGGCTAAAAACTCCGAACATTGTGATATTCTCAACCAGTTTTATTACTTACGAGAGCTGAAAATGTATTGAAATGTTGTGATATAAATTGATTTGTGTGTGGTACACATTTATCAACCATCAGTGATCAATATTTTCCTTATTTTTTGTGTAATATTCCTTAATTAATTATTTATTTGCGTGATAGGCCGAATGAAAGGACTAGACCCACATTACATACCGTAACCCTATGATTAGACCTCATCTAACCTTATCATTTTCCAAGATGCTTTCTCGTACTGGCTGCGTTTGTATTAGATTAGATGAGCAGTCAAAATAAAGGTCTTATTCCAATTTGGTTTTGACGAAATGACGAACTTTTCTTGAAATATTTCGCATCATCTTTTGGACACTCTGTTCGTCAACTTGAGCGGTCATTTTATTCCACCATCTCTTCATCTCTGCAGCATCCCGAGTAACTTTTCCAATCTTTTTCAGCTTCCGCTTAACAATTGCCTAATATTTCTCGATTGTGTGAAATTGAGGGCAATTGGGTGGGTTGAAGTGTATCTCGACTGTAGTGGCACCTAGCCAAATCTGGCCAAAACTTTACAGGGCCTTTGTGTGCTTAGATGATTGGTAGAATGCGTTTTTTCTTGTAGAGCTTCGAGTTCATAGACTCATTTGAGTTTTTTATCCGCAGCTGCAAATCGCTTGCCAAATCAGAAATTTTCTAGCGAACTTATCAGCAAAAACAAATTTATATTTGTTGGGGACATCGCTTCGAGCCGTGGCCACATAAAACTTTTGCCCGGGAAGCTTCGTAGTCCATCAGTATGCATCCTGGGTTTCTCGTGAGAACCTTTCTATACAAATTCCAAGCGCGTGTTTTCACCATTTTGTTCTGTTTCAGTGTTCGGTTTGGCTGCTTGCTGAAACGATAGCCTTCGCGTAGACGAAACCTCCGGACGGTGCTTTTGTTGGGATTGTATTTTATGGCAATGCCGCCATTAAAGAGTCCTGGGTTTGCTCTAATTGTTCTCAATACCTTCCAATGCAGTTGCAGATCGTAAGTTCCCACTACGACGCTTACTGTGATCCTTCAGAATAATATTTAGTTTTCCGCTCACGTAAACGATTGAGGACACTGCACACGGTAGATTTAGCCAAATTCATTGGATTTCCAACATGGGTGTCCATCATTAATTTCCTTCTTTTGGCTTCCATCTGTCACAACTTTTTAATCTTAATGAATCGTGACAAAAATTTTACAACTGAAAGAGGAGAGCTTCCCAAAACAATCTGCTGTCAAAACACTCAAGAATCGACCACTAGGACCGTTGTTAAAAAATAAGCAGTGCGTCGAGATTTTAAGTGAATCGAGCTTTAGTCAAGATTTCATAAATCTAGCTATTCACAGAGTTTAAAAAAAGTGTCCAGTTGTTTGACAAAACTTCAAACAACTGGACACTTTGTTTGACACACTCTAATGTCATTTGGACTTGCGCCTATTTTTTAAATTTCGACGACATTCTCCACGTTAAGGACGGGAATATCCCGTTGCACTGCCTCGAACCTTGGACAGTCGAAGACCACATGCTCCGGCGTTTCATTTCCAGACAAGAACTGCGTTAGGTAGAAGTTGACTTCTCTGTGTTTTCTGTTCACCCAGGTCGAAAGAATCGGTATTAGTCTATGTGTCCATCTACCGTTCTCCGTTGTGTTCCACTCCTGTTGCCACTTAGCCAATGACTCCACTCTCACAACTTTCCGTACTCTTCCGGCTTCTCTCCACCTGTAGCACTCGGTATCCTCCACCAAGGTGATGCCGATAGGGATCATACCAGCGATAACGCAGACTGCTTTCGACGAGATGGTTCTGTACGCACTCACGACTCGCATGGCCATGAGCCGGAACATACTGCTCAGTTTTCTTTGGTTCTGCTTCGTTTCCAGCGCTGGAACGAAGACGCCTATTGCTACTGCTGGGACCAGCGTTGTTCGGCATGATTCTAGCTATTGCGTTGATGGTCTTCGAAGTCTTCTC